GATTAATTCTGAACTACCATGAACTGCAGTGCCGAGTTAATAGGACATGAAAGGAAGAAATGGCATTTACTTGCTTTCGATAATGGCCGCGAGGTGAGAGGTGCAAGCAAAACAGGGGAAAAAACCTCTCTCAGTGTCAAGCTGTTAAAGGCCAGGGCATTTATCAGAATTATGTATCTTTGAACGTGCCTTGGGTTTCTAGCACAGATGACAGATATCCCAACGTGTACTCTGGTCTGCTGTTTGCTCAGCAAGACCTATAGCCTTTTGCTCTTATTTTTGTGGGAGTCTCCTAATGGCAGGGACCGGCCTGCAAGGTGCTCATGCTCTGCCCCACTTACGGATCTATAACCTTTTGGGAATCCTTCTGAAGAGGGAAGGCTAAAGCTTCCCAGGGGATGGAGGAGAGGTGGCTTCTCCCCCTGCGCTGAGCCGTGTGAGATCAACATATCCCTGCTGTATGTTTGGGTATTTGGGAGATTCCTTAAAAAGTGCCTCGTCCAGATGGGACGTGTCATCATCTGAGGAAAAATAATGGATGTGATAGGGCAGAGCAGTCCTGAGGTCCAAGATGCCTAAAATAGGGGGTGTGTCGTTTATAAGCTCTTTTGTAGTGCCTGCAAGACTCGGGAGTCTAAGATTGGCTTTCAAAGGTGGTTTTAAACCCAAGGTCTCCTCAGGAGCCAGCAGGCTCCCTTCACAGGGTATGCAGGTGATGCTACTCAGGTATGTGAATGTGACATCCCAGTAAAGCCCTGTGCTGAAATGCACGATGAAGATGTTTTTTCTTGAAAACATGGAGGCTGCTTTCTGAGCAAGGACACTTGCAGTAGATATTGCAATGACTCACTGACCTTGGCTGCATCATAAGCAGGTTTTGCATAAAGATAGTGAGTTCTTAAAAAGTTTTCTTGCTATTTATGGCAGAAACATTTTCTTCATCAGCATCAGACCTGAAAATCTGTTTCATTTTTCCCAGCTGCCAGATACAAGTGCTGACAGCACTCGTTACGGGTATGGTACTGGGGCAACCTGGAGTGTTACTGCTGCTATTATCATTTCAGACTGTGATCTTACCACAGAACTGACTTCTTTGGTCTCTATTAAAGACAGTCTCAATCTGAAAACTACACAATGTCATGGAAATAGATGTGAGTCCTAGCTCAGCTATCTGACCCCTGTGACTCAGCTAACAGATRGTAACTCCAGGGACGGAGGGGCAGGCGCCAGCCTAGCTACAGATTAGATGTACAGATCTAAGCTTCCGTGTGCCTCAGTTTCCAGACTATACGGGGTCAATAAAGAGCCTGCTCTGTTTTGGCAATTTGGACCTTTAAAGCGAGGAGCTCTCTGGTAGAAGTGCCCTGGACATGGCAGTCACCATCGCAGAGCCGCTCAGTGAAGGGAATTCCACACGCGGAGCAGCCGTGAGACGCAGTCCCCGGCGTGTGTTTTCTCCAGCCTCTCCCCACACACCTTCTGGCCGCTGCTAACTCCAGGGCAGTATCCATGTTCCGCTGCAGACCTGCTGGACCCCCTCCAGCACAGATGTGCAGAAGTGCTCAGAGGCCTCCGTGCTGAACCCAGGAACTGCAGCACATGGGCTCAACCGGTTGACTGCTTGAACTGTTGCTCCAGTTACGACAGAGAATCTCACCCGCTAAACCCTGGTGTGGACAAATAATTGCCTGCCCCAGACCTTCTCCCAGAGGCTTTAAACAGGCCTGTAAAAGGGRACGGCCACAGCAGGAAAAGCAGAGTTGGCCGAGTCATCGCCGAAGGCTGCTCCTCCGACACATTGTTCCTCTCTCGCTGTACAGAAACAGGTCACAAGTGATTCCTACAAAATTCCTGCTTGAAAATGTCCGCTGGTCTAATGGCTGAGATGCAGTCCTGGAGAAGGCAGCCTTTAGAAGAGGCGGTTTCTCTGCTGGATGGTCCAGCAGGACTGAAACCTGCTGTCCTCAGTGATAAACACAGGCAGGGCACAGGGCAAGCTCTWATCCTAAGCCCTTGCAGCGACTTCCCCAGGATTTTCTAGTCAGTAGCTGAGGATTTCTTCCAGCACTTTTGCAAACTTGGAAATTCACTTTCGACATCCCAGAAGCAGCAGTTCTGAAGAGTAACTATTGTGTCCATTTACTCCTTCACTGGGGCTGGAATTTCCCTCCCTCTCCCAGGTCAGCACACGTCACTGTGCATCATGAAAAGCTTTCTCAAGCTTCTGCTTAAACGGGACTTAAAYGATCCCTACGCCTTGGGCTGCCTTTATGGTAGGAGGAATTCAGTCAATAGCATTTACTGAAAAGTTATACCCTGAAGGCAAGGCGGTGGAGGAACAGAAATCACTYCCAAATTTGGGGATTACCTGCAGCACTTTTTTCCCTTGTAGTATTCTCCCAAAGCCAGCTCCAGCCCTGGAGTGATGAGAGCCTTCCCAGCCTTTCTGTGCTGAAAAGCTGCTATGTTGCTAAGCCTGTTACTAGGCAAAGTATGTTTTAACAGCCTAGAAAGCATTTTCAAAACACAAGAGAAGATTTTATTGTTTGTAAACTGAATCTGAGCTTCTCTGAGAATAACAAAACTCTCCTGCTCCTAAATTCTCACAGTTACAGAGGAACAAAATGAAAATCAAGCCACTTGGGCTGTGCTGCGGGGCAAATGTGCTACAGCTCTGCGAGTTGCCGCCTCCCCGTGCGCAGGAATGCTGAGGTACATCCAGGTGCGCTCTTGTGGGAGGCAGGGAGGAACTGTGCGGAGCAGGGAAGTGCTGGAGTTGATTCCGCGCAGCCTGCTGGATGCTCCTGCCCGAGCTGAGCCCTCCTCATGAGGTCCAGCGCGTGCGGTTACGTCCAGCACCAGCAGGTCTGCGTGGTGAGCAGCATGGTGTGCATGGTGCCCGTGCTACAGGGCTTTCTGTTGAAGGCAGCTCTCCCTTTGCAGGCGGAGGTTGGGAGAATTGTATGCAAAAAAAACATTTAAAACTTTCTATATGTGTATATTCATGCACATATATATTTGCACCCAGCATTAAAATGAAGGAATGCAGGATTTCTACTGTTGCTAAAATTGTAACTGTTTTGGAGGATGTTTTGGAAGAGTTTCAGTTCTGATGTGAAGCTTTAAAACCTGCGAACTGGTGCACATGCAGCTCCTAGGGCCATTCTGATTCTGGCTCCGTGCAGCCCAGAGGATTTCAGCTGCTTATCCCTCTATTACAGCCAATAATTTATGTTTGGTCAAAGGCCATTTTTCATCCAAAAAAAAGCCTTTCAATCCACCACTAAATTTTCTGATGTTTAGCATTATTGAGATGTCTATTATGCCTAGATTTTTAAATCACTTGTACGTGAGTAATAGTTTAAATGATCCCCTGTGGTGCCGGCAGCCTGCAAATTGCCCTGTCCTCGCTCCCGTGCAGGCTGTCGCCACGTGCCCAAGGGATCCGCGCACGCCGAGAGGTGATGGCAGGGAGATGGGTCTGTGGGTCCATTACTAGAGGGGGACATATGGTATTTTAGGGTGAATTCTCATTCTAGAGGACCACAGGCCTTGTGTTGAAGGCCTGCAGATGTTGGTGATGTGTTGAGGCTTGTGTGTGACCCTGGGCAAAAGGCTTGTCTCAGTGCTCCAGTTGCAAAATGGGAATCATAGCTTGCCCTTTGCCTCCCTGCCTTATTTAAGTCAGAAGCGGCTTGGGACAGGGACAATCTCCTCCTTTGTGGCTAGACAGTACGTAATATAATGGGGTAATTACAAAATAATAAGGAATGATTCTATGCCACATACACACACACACACACAAAAAAAAAATCATAGTAATAAAATGCTCATGTACTGTAGCAGTTTGAGCAATTGCTGTCCATAGGTAAGTGCCTCCAAGGGTCATTTGTATTGTTGTGGGCCTCACTATGTACCTTATATACGCACCTTGCAGGTGCCCTCTGAAAAGAGCCCTCTAGACACCTTCAGGGCGCTGCTGTGGGCATCAGCCCAGTCCTGCGTTCCCCCAAAGACCCCTTGATGCTGGCAGCGATGGCATTTTGTGACTTGCCCAGTAGACCAGTCTGACAGCTCGCAGTTTGTTCTGCAGAAGCCATCAAAACAGACGGCCACCACTTTCGAGGATCTTCCTGACTCGTATTTGTACACGAGATCTACAGTCATGCACAGCCCCCCACTTGGCTGGATTCCCTATCTCTGGATGGGATCTATGGCTTTAGAGTGGAAAATGGAGGTAGGAGAACCGTAGATGAACTGGGAAGGCCTAAGAATGAGGATATTGTCCTGGCGGTCTCCCCTTTGGGCAGCAYGGCGTTTCGGCCCTGGTAACTCCTGTGCTGAGCCACTTTACGCCCTGCTGTCTGGTTCTACTTGCATTAAGTATGTTTTGCAGCTGGGGATGTATGCTCTGTTTTTCTGCCTTGCTTTCTGTGTTTAACCTTCCMACCTTCTACGCCGAGGTTTGGTTTCATTTTTGTCAAGTGCTGGAGTCCTCTTGGGTAAGGAAGGACACCAGGTCGAGCCCATTCCTGAGCTACCGCGCTAGGACCAGGCAGCCCTGAGGGCACTAACGCCAAGGTAACAACCCGTTTCATTCATAGCAGGAGCTRTTTCCCCGCCGGCTGCTCCGCAAGGGGCACAGCTGCCTTTGCACACAAAATGGGAGCACGGAGCCGCGCATCTTGTCTGCGCCAGCGCTGGCCCGCACCGCACCTGCCGCGCATCCCGGCCGCGCATCCCTGCTCCCGGCCGCGCATCCCGCGCCTCCGCGGCGCATCCCTGCTCCCGGCCGCGCATCCCGCGCCTCCGCGGCGCATCCCTGCTCCCGGCCGCGCATCCTGCGGCTCCGCGGCGCATCCTCCCTGCCCGCGGCGCATCCCGGCTCCCCGGCGCGCATCCCGCGGCGCCTCCCTGTTCCCGGCGCGCATCCCCGGCGCCTGCGGCAGGCGCGGCGCGGCGGGAAGCGCTGGGCGCCGCCGCCGCGGGGCCGCACTTACGCGCGGGCTTTGGGGAAGCCCATGGAGAGCAGCACGTCGAGCGCGGAGCCGTGCTTGATGGTGCCCGCGCGCTGCTGCCGGCTCCGCCGCGGCACCACTTTGCTGTAGAGCTCCTCGCGGGCGGCCATGGCGAGCGGCGGGCGGCGCGGGGCCCTCACGCAGCCACAGCCACGGCCATGGCC